CTCCATTCACCACAACTCTGGGCTCGGCCACCCAGCCAGTTCTTTACCTGGCGAAGGGTATGTCTGCCCAAGCCATGAGCCGCCACACTCAGGTTCAGACACTTTTGAGTGGTGAACTAGATCTGTGATCTTATATCCATGATACCTGCTGTGCACAGTACAGCAATTGGTGCTCCTTATCTCTTCCAAGCACCTGTTTTCCTTCCCTTCTCGAAATTGTTCTTCACATTACTGGTTTCATTTTTCTGATTGTAACAGATTCCACCTGACTGTCAACCTGAACAGATTTTTGCAGACCTGTGAAGCAAACATTTCTGTGAATGTTAATGACCTTGTAGCTTCATTTTGCATGACTAGAAAGTGCTGTGTTTACTTAAGTTCAGCAGTTGCTCTGAGGTGCTTCTGACATGCTCCTGCTCTCTGTGATAACTAGTCTGTGTTTGACGTAGAGGCAACCAGGAGGGCTCCATGGGTGACCCCGACTTTGTGGTGGTGGATGGCGTACCTGTCATGCTGCCTTCCTACGATGAAGCTGTAAGCAGCGGCTTGAATGCTCTGGCACCCGGATACTCAGCTACCACAGACCAGGGGCATAGTTTGCAGACAGAAGATCAGAATCCTCCTGCTTATCCTGGCCCCAGGATTACAGACATGCTGCCTAGTGAATTTGAGACCTGTGACAGTAGGTCAGGCTCCTCTGAACTGCTCCAAAGTTTGTACCCATCCCCAGCATGCCAAGCGGCAGCACTTCCCGGTTCAGATCGAACTGACGTATCCCGTAACACTGCTGGGGAGGTGGCATCCACAAGTCCACGGATCGATATTGCAGATGGTGAGTCTTGCATAGGTGCAATAGGGGAGTCCATAAACAGGAGCCATCATTTGTTTGTACTGTCAGAGCAGGAAAAAACCCAGCTGACATGCTCCTACTTTCTCCATATTTTTGTCCACATCTTAATTTGGACATTTTTTAAACCATACTACTCCATGGTCATAGAGCTTCGTGTCTGTGAGACGTTGTTGCTAGCTGTGGTGCAAGGGATTTGAATCCTAGGCCAGAAGGTTCCTGCCCAGACCCCACCACAGCAGTCTCGTCAACAGGGATGTCAGCAGGCACCTGTGTACAGCAGCAAAGCCAACCATCGTCTTGCCTGTGTTGGTCTCTTCATCTGCTCAACTCCTACACTCACAACTCCCTCACATGCCATGGTTTTACAGCAAAGAACAGGATTTTCTCCTTAAAATGGAAAGCAAATCATGTTTTCATACTAAGCTAAAATTAGCAGCCTTTAATTAACAAGCTCATTGTGTCTGCGTGTAAAGCAAACTGTTGAGTCTAAAGTATGTATGCATTAAGCCATGGACATGGGAGTCACAGCATAAGGGGAACGTACCCACACGACCATGTATGAGAAGGGAGATTGCCATACATTATCTTCTGCATTTAAATCGAACATGAGCATGCATTGATATCATTTCATTGAGTTCTGGTGGAGCCGTATGGTGTGCTGCTCAGCGTGTTAAGGAAACTAGATAGCTTTCCTTGGAGACATTTAAAAGGAGGGGCTGTGATCCTGCTCTCCACAGTCACTGAGAGTCAGTAGGCAAAGCAATCTCTGTGTAATTTATCAGTAGCAGAGCTGAAGCCCGGTGTCCTAAATTTAGTGTGAGTGAAGGTCTGGGTAGAGGAAGTCTTCCTGCTTCATAGGGTTGAGGCTAACTTGTAATGGCATTATGAGGGGAAAAGGACAGCTAGAAGGAGGAGGGAGAAATTATGATAATGCCAGCAGAAGTCTCTGCCTACTCTGCTGATTCAGAAATTAGCATAGTAGAAAGGATGTTTGCATTTAGGTTTTTGTGGGCTTAACTTGTTTTAGAAAATCTGGGTAGTTTTAGTAGGTTAATTTTCACATAGGTGTTAGAGCGTAAGTGGGTCTAGAATTGGAGGCACTCTATGTGTTGTTCAGATTTTTGCAATGTGCATTTCTATTTTTGCAGAATTGCCAATACTAATACTCTGCAAAAGTATAAAGGGAAGTTACAATCAGCCATCAATTTGATTTCTTTTTTTCCCTTAGAGATTCCTTTGATGGAAGAAGACCCTTAGCCTGCACAGAGATGTGTCTTCGTCGCATTGCACCATCGGGTGACATGAATCATGAGGATTTAGAGATAGAAAAGACTATCTGTGGATTTGGGGAGGGTATTTTCCTACTTATCAATCTTCCGTATGATGATGTCACCAGATTGGGTGTACATTTTAATCCACAGCAGAGATAACAGCATCAGCATTTGGAACAGCAGCAGTTTTATGAATGAATCCTGGGGATTTGATGACAGCAGATGTAGAAAAAGAACTGTGGCTTTTTAGAAATGAAATGTATATCTGCATCGCAGAAAGTCATATGGTTCTGTAAGAAATACTATTGGATTTTGATACTAACTGCCTCACAAAAGCATGTCAAAGTATGTAAATTTGCTTATAAAGACTAGATCTATGGACCTCTAGTTTATGAAGAATCCTTACAAGTTTAAAAAAATACTAGTACTGAAACACTAAAAAAGAGGAAAGATCCTCTTTGGCTTTCCTATACTAGCCAGGAAGCTTTTGATTTAGTTGTTGGTGATTTTGTTTCAGACCATGTCTGCAGAAAATATAACAGAAATGACGGGATTCACATATACTTTGATGTATGATAGCAAATATATATAAATATATATAT